AGTCTCTAGAGTTTTCTATGTACAATATTACATCATCTGAAAATAATGACAGATTTACTTCCTCCTTTCCAATTTGGTGCCTTTTATGTTTTCTTCTCTGATTGTTGTGGCTAAGACTCCCAGTACTGTGTTGAATAGGAGTGGTGAAAGCGGACATCTCTGTCTTGTTCCTGTTCTTAGGGGAAATGGTTTTAGTTTTTGCCCACTGAGTATGATGTTGGCTGTAGGTTTGTCATGTATGGCTTTTAATATGCTGAGGTATCATTCCTCTGTTTCCACTTTGCTGAGAACTTTTTTTTTATTGATTTCAGAGAGGATGGGAGAAGGAGAGAGAGAGAGAAACATCACTGATGAGAGAGAATCACTGATTGGCTGCCTCCTACATGCCCCCTACTGGGGATCGAGCCCACAACCTAGGCATGTGCCCTGACAGGGAATGGCACCATGACCTCCTGGTTCATAGGTTGACTCTCAACCACTGAGCCACGCCGGCAAGGGTACTGAGAACTGTTTTTAAATGAAAAATGGGTGTTGGATTTGGTCGAATGTTTTTCTGGGTCTATCGATATTATCATGTGTTTTGGTCTTTAAATTTGTTTATGTGATGTATCACATTTATTGATTTGCAAATATTGTGCCAGCCTTACATCCCTGGAATTAATCCCACTTGGTCATAATGTATGACCTTTTTAATATATTGCTGGATCTGATTTGCTAATATTTTGTTGAGGATTTTTGCATCTATGCTCATCAGGGGTATGGCCTATAGCAGTGATGGCGAACCTATGACACGCGTGTCCAAGGTGACACGTGAACTCATTTTTTTCTTTGATTTTTCTTTGTTAAATGGCATTTAAATATATAAAATAAATATCAAAAATATAAGTCTTTGTTTTATTATGGTTGCAAATATCAGAAAATTTCTATATGTGACACGGCACCAGAGTTAAGTTAGGGTTTTTCAAAATGCTGACACACCGAGCTCAAAAGGTTCGCCATCACTGGCCTGTACCGTAATTCCATTTCTTTGTAATGTCGTTATCTGGTTTTGGAATTAGGATAATGCTAGCCTGGCAAAAAAAAAAGCTTGGAAGTGTTCCTTTCTCTGGAATTTCTTGGTATATTTTGAGTAGGATAGGTGTTAGTTCTCTTTTGAATGTTTGGTAAAACTCCCCTGTGAAGCCATCCGGATCAGGGCTTTTGTCTGCTTGGAGTTTTTTGATTACTGCTTCAGTTTCATCAGGTGTTTTCAGCCTATTCATGTTTTGTGATTCTTCCTGATTCAGTTTTGTACAAGGTTTTATGTGAACCTATGTTTTTAGTCCCCCTGAGTGGTCATTATACTCCCCCACCTCCCAGTCCCCAGGCCTTTAGTGACCCACCCCTGTATTTGGGTTCATCTGCTTCCCTGGGTGGCCTGCTTGGCTCTTTCTCCTTCTATGACAATCTCAGTCTACTGTTTTTTGTGGGGTCCTTATCTATTCACCGGAAACACATATTTTTCTGCATCTCCTAGCAGTTCAGTTTACATCTAAGGCTATCATTTTATTGTCCCTTCTGCCACAGGCAGTTCCAACTCCGGTCTCTAGACTTTACTTGTGTGAGTCGGATGCTAGTTCCTCAACCTACAAGGAGACACAGCTTTCTGAAACTTTTTTGTCATTTGCTTGAGGTAGCAACATTTGTCTCTCATTTTAGAAGTCATCTACCAAGTGATAAGGACACTCAAGCAGCTCCTGGAAAAGCCCCGGTGGGAAGAAACTGAGACCTCCCAGGAACTGCCAGCACCAAGTCGCCAGCCTTGTGACTGCACCTCTTTGGAACCAGATCTTCCAGCTCCAGTCAGTTGTGATGACTGCAGCCCCAGTGACATCTCAACTGAAGCCTCATGTGACCTCCTGGACCAGACCCACCTAGCTCAGTTCCTGAATTCACGACCCACACCAACAGTGAGTTTGGAAAAAGTTCATTATTGCCTAATTTTGAAGGTTTTTTTGAAACACAATTCATATACGTAAATATTAGCATTTTAGACTGTCCAGTTCAGTGCTTTTTAGCACATTCATTGTTATGCAGCCATTGCCACGGTCTCATTCCAGAATATTTCCATCTCTTCAAAATGATAGCCCATACCTCGTAGCAGTCACCCTTAGTTCTCTCTACTGTGCATCACCTAACAACTGTTAATTCACTCTCTGACTCTAAGGATTTGCTTATTGTGGACATTTGCTATGAATGGAATCATACAACATATGGTTTTTTTAAAAAAAATAATTTTTATTGATTTCAGAAGAAGGGAGAGGGAGAGAGAGATAGAAACATCAGTAATGAGAGAGAATCGTTGACTGGTTGCCTCCTGCACGCCCTCAACTGTGGATCGTGCCCGCAACCTACGCAATGCCCTGACTGGGAATGAAGCCATGACCTCTTGGTTCATGGGTCGACACTCAACCACAGAGCCACACCAGCTGGGCACAATATGTGTTCTCTTTTTTTTTGAATGATTTATTTTAGATATCATAATGTTTTCAAGGTTCATCTGTGTTGCAGGACAGGTCAATCATTTATTCTTTTTTTTAAAAAAGACTTTTTTTTTAGAGCAGTTCTAGGTTTATTTCAACATCCAGAGGGAGGTATAGAGATCTCCCATATACCTGCTGCCCTCCCACATGCATAGCCTCTCCCACTGTCAGCATCACTAACCAGAGGGGTACATTTTTTTTTATATATTTTATTGATTTTTTACAGAGAGGAAGGGAGAGAGATAGAGAGTTAGAAACATCGATGAGAGAGAAACATCGATCAGCTGCCTCCTGCACATCTCCCACTGGGGATGTGCCCGCAACCCAGGTACATGCCCTTGACTGGAATCGAACCTGGGACCCCTCAGTCCGCAGGCCGACGCTCTATCCACTGAGCCAAACCGGTTTCGGCAAGAGGGGTACATTTTTAACCAAGGATGAACCTACGTTGACTCATCATTATCACCCAAATTCCGTAGTTTACCTTAGGGTTCACTTTTGGTGTGGTGGGAATGGGTTTGGATGAATGTATACTGACATACAGGGTGGGGCAAAAGTAGGTTTACAGTTGTTTCTTTGAGAAACAATAGTTAACAAATAATAATAGAAGAATGAACTGTTTTGTGTACTCATAAATGTGAACCTGTTTTCCCCCCACCTTGTATATCCATCATTATAATATCATACAGAATATTTTTACTGCACTAAAAATCCTCTGTGCTCTGCCTGCATTCTTTTTCATAGGTGTACTAGTGGCCTGGTTCATGAAATTCATGCACCGGGAGTGGTGTCCCTCACCCGGCCTGCACCCTCTCCAATCTGGGACCCCTTGGGGGATGTCTGACTGCCAGTTTAGGCCCAATCCCTGTGGGATCCCTCATGGCCCTGTGGGATTGGGCCTAAACTGGCAGTCGGACATGCCTCTCACAATCCGGGACTACTGTCTTCTAATTGCTCACCTACGTGCCTGCCTGATTGCCCCTAACCACTCTGCCTGCCGGCCTTCTTGCCTCCAACTGCCCCCCTCTGCTGGCCTGTTCGCTCCCAACTTCCCCCCACTGCTGGCCTGCTTATCCCCAACTGTCCCCCCCCCCCCGCTAGCCTGTTTGCCCCCAACTGGACCTCACTGCCAGCTTGCTCTCCCTCAGCTGTCCTCCCTGCTGGCCTGATCACCCCCTACTGCCCTCCCCTCCTGGCCTGATCGCTCCTAACCGCCTCTGCCTCAGCCCCGCCACCATGGCTTTATCTGGAAGGACATCCGGAAGGTCTCCCGGTCTAATTAGCATATTAGCCTTTCATTAGTATAGATAATATTTCACTGTAATGATATATTGTATTTTTTAAATATTTGTACACATTTGCTTATATTTTCAAGGAGAAACAATATAATAAAAACTAATAAAACTATATAGGGGGAGGGAGGGGTCAGGGTAGAGGAGACCAGGATGGGGGCAAAACTTATCTGAATACACCTTGGTATATAATTTGACTTTGGAATAAAGTTTTGAGGCAATTATAACACAGATTACATCCAGAAAAAAACCACACAAAATGAAAAAAGAAAAAGAAACAAGTGAATCTAGTTGTACTTTGTTAGTGACATAACCAAGTAGAGAAAAGAATTATTCTGACTGACCTTAGAATACAATATATATATATATTTTTTTTTTGAGTCAACTAAATATTTATTGAGAACCTGTTATGTGCTAGCTGCTGGGATATAAATATGCATACTCTGCTCCAAAGGCTACCAACTAGGTGAGGGAGACAGACAACACATGGTATGGTGATACACACAGGGTATGACAGAAACACCCAGGAGGGAAGCCTCTCCAGTGAGTTCATAGAAGTCTTCTTAAAGGAGGTGATCTCAAAAGTCAGTAATGAATGGTAATACCATATGTAGAGAACCTGAAGCACTTCAATATTATTTTAACTTATAGTTGGAGACAAGAGATAGGTGATTAATTATGTCAACATGTACAGTAGTTAGAAAAAAAGAAACCCCAAACAGCCCATGAAATAATCCCTCCCCCCACCAAGAACTAGGCAAAAGGCATTCACAAGGCATTCCGAGTACATAAACACCAAGTATATCTAAGTAATCCAATATATGCATGGACAGTCTGAAGATGCTGAGCTAAACTGATTTTTCCCCAAGTTAAGAATGCCATCAAACCCAGTTTCCATTTTAACCCCCACATTATTTGTAACATAACCAATTCTCATCGGCCAGGGAGGCAAAAACCCTGAAGGGCAAGATGCGGTTGGAACTTTCAAACTGATGCCCCTCAAGTGGTACAATATAGATCCCTTCCCAGTACCGAGTCCATGTGCCCCACCCTGTGAAGGAGGCAAAGACAGAAAGGGGGAGGAGGAAGCAAGACCAGATGGAAAAGCGGGGCGCCGGGCTGTTCAATTTTGAATAAGACGAAGAAAAGAAAAACCAGAGCAGCAAGGCAAAGGGAACAACAGAGCCTATTGAGGGGACCAGGCGGCGGCTCCGGCACAGGCGGGAACAGCAACAGCAGCGGGGCAGCCACAGCTTAGGAGAACCACGGGGCAAAGCCCCCCCACGGCTTCCGCTTCGGCTTCGTTGGCTTTGGCTTCTTCAGCTTTAGCTTCGGCTTCGGCTTCGGCTTCGGCTTCTTCGGCTTCGGCTTCGGCTTCTTCGGCTTCTTCGGCTTCGGCTTCGGCTTCTTCGGCTTCGGCTTCGGCTTCGGCTTCGGCTTCGGCTTCGGCTTCGGCTTCGGCTTCGGCTTCGGCTTCGGCTTCGGCTTCGGCTTCGGCTTCGGCTTCGGCTTCGGCTTCGGCTTCGGCAGGCTTCACCGAGTCATAGTGCTCCCCGCCAAAGCTGGAGGTGTAGCGCCTGTAGACGAGGGTGAGCGGCTTCTTGGTGTCCTCCTCCCTGATGAGGAGGACGGGGGACTCCATCTGGATCACCTCGATGGGGCCCTGCAGGATGTGCGACTGGGCCCTCAGCTCGAGTTGGCCTCCCCACGATGCGTTGTGTACGATGTTGTCGCAGTAGTTGAAGAAGCCCTCGCGGGTGTAGATCTCGCGGGTTTCGGGGTCGCTGTAGAAGGGCAGGAATTCATCGACGTGCTTCCGCATGTAGTTGGCGGCGCGGCCCCGCAGGCTCTCCACGGTCACGGAGAACGACAGCTGGTCTTGGACGGCGCGACACATGCAGTGGCTGTCGGCCGGGATCTCCATCTCCAGGTTCTTGGCCTCGAGGGTGACCGCCAGCTTCTCCTTATCGTCGCAGCGACAGCTGGCCAGGTATCCCACTCGGCAGCGGCCGCCGCCATCTTCTGGCGCTCTCTCTGCAGCGCCGCCGCCCTGCTTTCGCGCCTTCTCCTTCTCTGGGCCCTCGAGAGGCAAGGAGGCCGGTTCTCAGGAGCCATCTTGGCCAGACCCTCAGTGAGGGAATCGAGGTTGCTGCTGGCAGGGGGAAGCTCTGTGAACCTCCCCAGCTCCCTCTGTTGTTTCTGCTCCATTTCGGCCTCAAGGCGGCCACGTCAAGGAGCAACTGCTTTCTTTTCTTCTTGTCGTTCTTAGGGACCGAGTTCTTGGTGGCCTGGATGCAGTCCTGTAGCTCTTTTTGCTCGCGGAGGTGGCGACGCTTCAGCCGCTGATACTCAAGCTGCAGATCTGCCTGGTGTTTGGCGAGAACCCACGTTTGGTGGCAGCGAGAGGACCCGCCACAGTTCAGTCCAATTGCTCCAACCTCCAACAGGTAGCTGATCTCAGCCTCCAGTGGCGGGCTGCTCTAGAATACAATATTTTTACCAAACATTCTCAGTAAGATACATTCCAAGGCTAACAAATAGTTTAAATTAGATTCAGCAATTTTACTAGTAATAGTAATGTTGAGGCAGTTAGGAATTAAGACCTTCACCATGACAGATAAGAAATAAGCATAAATTTAAAAATATATGTAGTACGTGAAAACCCTGTATATTTAAATTTGAATTGGAAGTTTAGCAAGATCTTACTCTTCCCTTTAATAAAAGATAGATGTGGCCTTTAAATATCCCCCCACTGACAGAATCCAGAGAAATGCTTGCTTCCAAGTGTGAGGTGGGAATGGGCTTGGTCGTCTAACCTCGGTCGCCAACCGGTGGTCCGTGGAGAAACAATGTAATAAAAAGATAATTGCTGATATTCCATCCTCAACAGAGCTGAAATCTGCCTCTGAGATTCCCAAAACCTGGGTTCTTGTCCCAGCTCTTCCTCCTGCTCCCTCCAAAGGCATCAAGCTCTGCACCGTGCTGAGCCCAGATTCCTCACCTCTGAAATGAGGAGAATGAACCCGTGTGTCCTTTTCGCCCTTGAAAACCATGTGGAACGACCACAGATTTCTCGCATACCTTCCGACTTGCTGATACCATGAATTCTGAGTGTTTCCCCCATTATTACATTCTTAAATGGGCGTGTTACGAAATTCCATCAGAATTGGAATCACATAGCAATACCTAGAAAAAGAAATATTGCTGGCTCGTTAGCACAAAGTGGAGGGAGAAGTAATCTACTTTGTCTTTTTGTCTCTTTCAGCCATGGAATTCCATGAACACCTGCACAGCATAGGCACCAGGGAAGGTCTGAAGGAGTGAGAACTACAAAAAGCTGTGGAGAGCTTCACCTGGAATATCGCCGTCTTATAGGTACCTAGCGGGTTGTTGCTGGTGCTAGTGGTTTTGCAGACTTTTTCAGTGTGTTTCTTTCTGTCCGGACATTTTGTGCACGGTACATTATCCACCACTAGAGGCTTTACATGCTCACAGGGATCCAGTGCCCTCTTCCCTCAGAGTCTGCAGGCACCATGGCTGGGCGGCACGGCTCAGAGGGAGAATGTGGGGACTTTAACGGTTGGTTGGCACATTGTGGATTCTGGTAGGAAGTGAAAGGACCTTGTGTTTCATCTTTGAAGCATTGTTAACTTCATAAATGCCAGGTGCTGAAAAAGCCAGCGATGAGCCTGGAGAGTGAGGGCACTTCCTTGTCGTCGTCATGGAGGTTATAGCTCTGGACCAGCCATAGTCAGGTGCACTCACTCCTCCATCTCAGGGCTGTGTGGCCCAGGATCCGGGCCGGGTAGAGTTCCTCTCAGGCCACGTGTCCTACCGCCTAGAGAGGGTGCTATCTATCTGCATGGAGTTACAAAGTCGTCCAGCTCGCAGTCTTCATGATGTGGCCTGATCTCGTATATTGAATACTTTGAATTCGCTGAATCTCAGTGGTGGTTCTTGGGTCTGTCGTGCAGTTGCTGGCAGCAGGGACTGCGGTTGTCCATTTTGGCTGGACACGTGAGATGGCTCTCTCCCGTGGCTGTTGATCAGAGTGTCTGCACGTGGTCTCTCCGTGTGGCTTGGCCTTCTAGCAGGCACTGGGTTTCAAGAGGGAGTCAGCATCCCAGATGACCCATAAGGGACCTGCAGGTGTTCCCCAGCCACTCCTCAGAAGTCCCAGGTCACCTCTCCTGCGTTCCTTTGTCCAAGAAAGTCACTAAGTCCACCCAGGCTCAAGGGGGTAGAGAACTTGACTCCTCCTCTTGATGGGTGAGTGGCAAGGTCATGTGTCTGGGTGTTATTGGCTCCACTTGTGTTGTTCACCGCCTTTCCTCGTCGTCTTTGCTGGTTTTCCAGCAGGTCCACCCTCCATCTCTCCTGGGATGCGATTGATGAGCTCTGTGCACTGCCCCTCGGTGCCCATAAAGGGGCCTAGTTTTCCTGGAGATGCAGGGAGCCAGGAACTGTGGCCGGCTGTGTGGTGCTGCTGGGGAAGGGTGGTATTTCTCTCTACTGTATTTTATTTACCCATTTATGAGCTGATGGACATTTGGGTTGTTTCTAGGTGTTTTTTTAATTATGAATAATGCTTCTATGAACCTTTGAAGATAAGTTTTTATGTGAACATATGTTTTCAATTCTCTTGGGTATATATACCTGTACTGGAATTTCTGGACCATAAAGTAACTATGCTTGATGTTTTGAGGACTTGTCAAAATATTTTCCACAGCAACTGCACCATTGCATTCTGGTAATGTACAAGGGTTCTGATTTCTCCAAATCCTCTGCAACACTTGTTAATGTCTTTTTGATTATAGCCATCCTTGTAGTTATGAAGTGATATCTCATTGTGGTTTTGATTTGCATTTGTCTTATGACGATGCTGTTTAGCTTTTTGAGCATCTTTTTCATGTGCATTTTGGCCATTTGTGTATCTTCTTGGGAGAACTATCTGTTCATGCTTTCCATTGTATAATTTGGTTGTCTTTCTTTTTAAAATACATATTTTATTGATTTTTTACAGAGAGGGATAGAGAGTTAGAAATAATGATGAAAGAGAAACATAAACCAGCTGCCTCCTCCACACCTCCTTCTGGGGATGTACCTGCAACCAAGGTACATGCCCCTTGACCAGAATCAAACCTGGGACCCTTCAGTCCACAGGCCGATGCTCTATCCACTGAGCCAAACCAGTTAGGGCTGGTTGTCTTTTTAAAAAAAGATCTTTAATTGATTTTTAGATAGAGGAAGGGAGAGGGAGAGAGAGAAACATCAATTGGCTGCCTCCTGCATTCCCACTACCGGGGATCATCCTGCAACCAGGCATGTGCCCTGACTGGGAAATGAACCGGCAAGCCTTTAGTGTATGGGACAATATCCAACCAAGCAATACCAGCTAGGGCTAATATGGTTGTGTTTTGATTGTGGAGTTTTAAGAGTTCTTTGTATATTATGGATACTACAACCTTATTAGATATATAATTTGCAAATATATTTTCCCACTTTGTGGATTGTCTTTTTACTTTGTAGATACTCCCCTTTGACACAAAAGTTCTTAAATTGTGATGACTTTTCAGTTAAAGTACTTTTACATTGGTTGCTTGTGCTTTTGGTGTCACGCTGAAGAAACTGATGTGTGTAACACATGGTTGCAAAGAGAACTGTTTTTCATTTGAAGAGTTTTATAGTTTGTAAATAGAAGTTGGTTATAAAAAGGGAGGGAGGAACACCTAATTAAGGCTCAGGTTTCTTTGTAGGTGTATATATTTTAGGAAAACATACATATGTAAGATGAAATTGGGAAAATAGATTCCATTAGGACGCCATGTGCAGGTACCCTTAAGAAAGGCCTCTTGTAGACCTGGGGGGCTCTGACCTGACCCTGAGAAGCACTCCATTCTTCTAGACATCCCTTTGCATAATGAGTGAGAGTAGGAGAGAAGTGGGGAAAAGTAATGAAAAAGGGGAAGGTAGCAGAGAATGAGAGAAAAGAGGGTATAGGAAGTTGAGAATATTGGGAAGTTGTGCTGGGGTAAAGTGAGGGAAGCTAGTTTTCCTTTCATCCTCGTAGGAGTTGTTGGAGTGCATAGAGACCCCCCACATATTTGGCTGCCGTCAGATATGTCTGGATCAGAACTCTCTTGGTTGTTCTCAGAAAATTTCCACATTGAATTATTTCTGGTGTGATTTTGTTCCTTCACTTTCAAGCCTGGGTGGTTAGCCTACTGGGTTCTCCCAGGAAGCCTGTTTTGTAAAGGCCCCTTAACAAGTCTTAGTGTTTTTTGGTTATTGATTTCACTGCAGCTTCATGCATCTAGTCCATCTGGTTGGCAGTGTAGGTAGCGCTTCATTTTGGTGAACACTAGTTTCTCACAGTTGTATCCCTTTTGCTATTTGTAAAGCAACAAGCCAGGTCTCCAGGCTCTATGGGCTTCTGGCCAAGCCAGGAAGCCTGAGCCTCAGTTTGCACACATGGCAGTGGAGGCGCTTTGAAGTGGATTGTCTTCATGTTGGTCCCTGACCCAAGCTTTTGAGCTCTCAGAAACTTTTGACAGAATGATCCATGGAATTTTGAACTCCTTCCTCATGGAGGCTGCTAAGGTCACAATGCTCTATTGGAAATATACAGGTGATTTCCTGTAGGCTGAAATAGGATGCTCTCATTTGAGCATCATAGCTGTGATGTGGGATGTTAGCATCTCTTGTTTCATAGATGCGGTGCCTTTTTTATTTTTGCTAGAAAAACCAAAGCCTGCCAAAGACAGCTGCCATGCTGTGCTCCATCATAACTACACTAACATTAAAAACAAAAGCTTTTAATGATTGTAATGTATACAGTTTGGCAAAACTCTGCTGATGTGCATTACTGATACTTTATTTAAAAACAAAGATAGTCCATGTTGAAATTGATCAATGTAAGTTAAACAGTGGTTTTTAGGCTAGATCCATGATTTAAGCTGTACCTATCCAGCTAAGACAAAAAAACAATCATTTGAACCAATTGTTCAGAGTTTTGAAGAAGAAAAAATCCAGGAAAATGCCAGTAATGATGACTGGCAAAATCAAAATTGGAAACAAAGAAACTGTTTATAGAGCTGCCAGCAAAGAAACCTTGGGAGGAGATGACAAGTTTGGAATTTCTGGGATGGAATTGGATAAGAATCTCAGTCCAGTTTCTTCAGTTGCTGCAGAGACAGCGCTGTCCTTGAATCTGACAGAGTCCTGCACTCCCCTGTGCACTGACCCTTTCTGTAATCCAGTCTTCATTGTAGCCCGAGGAACTGTTTGAACCTGCTCCTTTTTGGTCGTCTTCTTTGGCACAACCACAGTGGATTTCTCTGATTCACGAGTTCTAATTGACCTTCTCTGTTGCTTCTTTTCTGAGCCCGCAGAACCAGATGTTGCTTCAGGAGAGGATAACATTCTGAGTTACCTTTTCATTTCTGTGGATTGGTGTACAAATGATGTCTGTCTTGTCCCCTGACACTTATTTCCGTTTTGTTCCCAGTTCCCTTTGTTGAATACACAAACTGATAGATAAATTTCCCATTTCCTGTAGCATTCTGAAGAGCAAACACTTACTAAATTTTGACAACTGGAGACATGTTACACTTCTGTACATCCAAGCTCCATTTGTGCATTGTAATAGAAGCTGGTAAAGATTTCCTGGCTGCTGCCATTTTCTAGGCTGTTTAATTTATTTTTAAAATTCTTTATTGTTGAAAGTATTAACATATGTTCCCTTTCCCCTGAATTGACCTCTCCCAGCCTGCCCCTGACCCCCAGCCCAGGCCTTCACTCCTCAATTGTCTGTGTCCATTGGTTATGCTTAAATGCATACAAGTTCTTTGGTTGATCTCTTACCCTCACCCCTCCACCCTCCCCTGCCTTCCCTCTGAGGTTTACTGTCTGTTAGATGCTTCTATGTCTCTGGATCTATTTTTGTTCATCAGTTAATTTTGTTCATTATATTCCACAAATGAATGAGACCATGTGTTGTAAATGTTTCCCTCCACGTCCAGCGTGGTTCAGGGTTCAGGATCTGGAAGAGGAGCCGCACACAAATGAAAGAGAAAAGTCACGAGATAATTTGGGAATATTGG